TCCCCACAATCCACACCCCACGTACCTGCTCTCCCCACAATCCACACCCCACGTACCTGCTCTCCCCACAATCCACACCCCACGCACCTGCTATCCCCACAATCCACACCCCACGCACCTGCTCTCCCCACAATCCACACCCCACGCACCTGCTCTCCCCACAATCCACACCCCACGCACCTGCTCTCCCCACAATCCACACCCCACGTACCTGCTCTCCCCACAATCCACACCCCACGTACCTCACAGACCTGTTCTCACCATCATCCACATCCCCACACACCTGCTCTCACCATCACCCACATCCTCACACACCTGTTCTCACCATCACCCACATCCTCACACACCTGTTCTCACCATCACCCACATCCTCACACACCTGTTCTCACCATCACCCACATCCTCACACACCTGCTCTCACCATCATCCACATCCTCACACACCTGCTCTCACCATCATCCACATCCTCACACACCTGCTCTCACCATCATCCACATTCCCCACACACCTGTTCTCACCATCATCCACATTCCCCACACACCTGTTCTCACCATCATCCACACCCCACACACACCTGTTCTCACCATCACCCACACCCCACACACACCTGTTCTCACCATCACCCACATCCCCCACACACCTGTTCTCACCATCACCCACATCCCCCACACACCTGTTCTCACCATCATCCACACCCCCACACACCTGTTCTCACCATCATCCACATCCTCACACACCTGTTCTCACCATCATCCACATCCTCACACACCTGTTCTCACCATCACCCACATCCCCCACACACCTGTTCTCACCATCACCCACATCCCCCACACACCTGTTCTCACCATCATCCACATCCTCACACACCTGTTCTCACCATCATCCACATCCTCACACACCTGTTCTCACCATCACCCACATCCCCCACACACCTGTTCTCACCATCACCCACATCCCCCACACACCTGTTCTCACCACCACCCACATCCCCCAAACACCTGTTCTCACCATCATCCACATCCCCACACACCTGTTCTCACCACCACCCACATCCCCCACACACCTGTTCTCACCATCACCCACATCCTCACACACCTGCTCACCATCACCCACAACCCCACACACCTGTTCTCACCATCACCCACATCCCCCACACACCTGTTCTCACCATCATCCACATCCTCACACACCTGTTCTCACCATCATCCACATCCTCACACACCTGTTCTCACATCACCCACATCCCACACACCTGTTCTCACCATCATCCACATCCCCCACACACCTGTTCTCACCATCACCCACATCCTCACACACCTGTTCTCACCATCCTCCACATCCTCATACACCTGTTCTCACCATCATCCACATCCTCACACACCTGTTCTCACCATCATCCACATCCTCACACACCTGTTCTCACCATCATCCACATCCCCACACACCTGTTCTCACCATCACCCACATCCCCCACACACCTGTTCTCACCACCACCCACATCCCCCACACACCTGTTCTCACCATCATCCACATCCTCACACACCTGTTCTCACCATCATCCACATCCTCCACAACATGTTCTCAACATCATCCCCACATCCCCCCACACACCTGTTCTCACCATCACCCACATCCCCCACACACCTGTTCTCACCATCACCCACATCCCCTCACACCACCTGTTTCTCCCATCATCCACCATCCCCTCACACACCTGGTCTCACCATCATCCCCACATCCCCACCACACCTGTTTCCTCACCCATCATCCGCCACCTCCCACACACCTGTCTCACCATCATCCGCCATCCCCCACACACCTGTTGCTTCACCATGTCATCCAACATCTCCCCACACACTGTTCTCACCATCCTCCACACTCCTCACCACACCTGTTCTTCACCATTCATCCCCACCTCCTACCACACCTGTTCTCACCATCACCCACATCCTCACACACCTGTTCTCACCATCACCCACATCCTCACACACCTGTTCTCACCATCACCCACATCCCCCACACACCTGTTCTCACCATCATCCACATCCTCACACACCTGTTCTCACCATCATCCACACCCCCACACACCTGTTCTCACCATCACCCACATCCTCACACACCTGTTCTCACCATCACCCACAACCCCACACACCTGTTCTCACCATCACCCACATCCCCCACACACCTGTTCTCACCATCATCCACATCCTCACACACCTGTTCTCACCATCATCCACACCCCCACACACCTGTTCTCACCATCACCCACATCTCACACACCTGTTCTCACCATCACCACAACCCCCACACACCTGTTCTCACCATCATCCACACCCCCACACACCTGTCTCACCATCATCCACATCCTCACACACCTGTTCTCACCATCATCCACACCCCCACACACCTGTTCTCACCATCACCCACAACCCCACACCTCTTTCCATGGCTGTAGGAGTCAGACGCCTAAGGAAGTGCCTCACGTGCTCTCTGGTCCATGAGCCCGACAGTTTTACCTTGTCTCACATCTCTTCTAAGACCAGGGACAAAAAGAAGCGAAAGGGTTCTACATCCACACTGAACTGGCCCCTTCACACCTTGGCAGTGTGGGCGGAGCCTCGGGCTGGGTCCTGTGCTCTGACTCTGAAGTGACAAAGTTGACCCCGTGGCCAAGCCCGGAATCCAGAGCCAAACCTCAGACCATCTTCTCAACCGCTGGACCACGTGTTCCGATTTGAGAGCACGTGCGCTTGAAGCATCAGCCGTGGCAAAGGCCTGGGGTTCGCTGCCCTCAGACGGGGGAACATGTGCCCTTCGCGGAGCAGGGACGGCCCGGGAGCACTCTGCCGAGTGACGTGAGCCGTCAGGGGACACAGGTACCACATGATCTCACGCCTGCGGAGTCTAATGGACAAGGTGAACTAACAGGCAACACAGAGACAGACTCACAGACAGAGCAGGCGGACAGCTCTGGGGGCAATGGAGGGATGAGCAAAACAGAGAAAGAAGTCATGGACACGGACAACAGTGGTGATGGCGGGTGGGAGAGGGTACAGGGGGATAAATGAACATTTAAAAAAGGAAAATTTAAAAAAATAAATGTATAAAAATAAAATAAATGAAATATAAATAAATAAATAAATGAAAATTAAAAATAAATTAAATACATAAATGAAAATTAAAAATAAATTAAATACATAAATGAAAATTAAAAATAAATTAAATACATAAATGAAAATTAAAAATAAATTAAATACATAAATGAAAATTAAAAATAAATTAAATACATAACTATAAATTAAACATTAAAAATAAATAAATAAATGAAAATTTAAAAATAAATTAAATAAATGAGTGAATAAATGAAAATTTCAAAAAAATAAATACAAAAACCTGAGAAAGAATAGGCTGTGAGTGTGAGACTCCCCAAACACCCTGTACTTTAGGGAGTTGGGGTGAAGTCTGAATGAACTACCATTAAAGAACCAAAAGCACTCACCCCTCCTAAAGGAGTCATAAGCCTAATGGGGGGTACTGGGAGGGACGGGGCCCTGTCACTCATTATTCTGGGCTGCCCTGCCCATCTAGTCCAGGTTTTTGGGTGTGTGGTGGGGTAAAGAATTATGGCAAAAACTTTTGAGAAGAAAGTAATGCAAAAAAAACCACACCCATTTCAATGTCCAGCACTAATCATGTGCTGTCTCTGCTGTCTGCATTTCATAGAGAAGGAAATGAGATTCGGTGATTAAAACAACTTCGTTCCATAGGTCATGAGCCCGCACTGTTTGCCTGAGTCAGAAAACCGTCCCAGCGAGTCTGCCGTCAGCGGCACTCCTGTGTGGTGGCCTAGAACCCACACTGGCTGTGGGGCCCCCCGAGTCCTGGCCATCCACCGTGCTCCTGCCCTGTGCCATCTGCCCCCTGGGGTCCCCCATTCTCCGTCCTGGGGAGAGAGGTCCTTCCAGAGTTCTCAGGGGTCTCACCTGGATGGACGCTGCACCAGTTAAGATTAGGTTGGACGCCCTGGCCGGCTTGGCTCGCGGTTGGAGCATCAGCCCGCGGACCAGTGAGTCGCGGGTTCGATTCCGGTCAAGGGCAGGTACCTCGGCTGCGGTTCATCCTGGGGCCCTGGTCGATGTGTCTCCCTCACATGGATGTTTCTCTCTCTGTCTCCCTCCCTCCCACTCTGTCTGAAGATAAATGGAAAACTATCCTCGGGTGAGGATGAAAAAAGAGAGTAGGTTAGGCTAGAATGAGTGACAAATGAGAGGAAAATAGGAATCGTGGGTGAAACAGAACGGACGTTGGGTTTTCTCTCGCACGGACACCCAGAGGCAGAAGTCCAGGGCCGACCCGGAGCCTCCAGGTGTCTGGGACCCAGATTCCTCCTGTCATGCTCAGCCGGAGCACGCGACTTCCATTTCTGGGACCACCAGGCCCCAAACGCCAGCTGGAGCCCCAGCCAACTTGGGGCGTTCCAGCTGCGGGAAGGGGGCCAGGCCCTCAGCCAACGGGGGACCAGTCCTGAGTCCGGTTACGAACGAGAACACACTTTCTCCTTCAACACCCCAGCCAGGCCCCCTTTGCTCAGGGGCTCCCGGGGCAGCGGTGGCCAGTGGGAGCTGGGGGGGGGGGGAGTCCTGAACCCCTGAAGGAAGCCTGGGGCCTTCCACAGGCTGCGTGATCGGCCTTTCTCCTGCGTGGCCAGGGCTTTGCGGGCGCTCAGCTCTCCGCCTTCTCATCACGCGGAGGAGCACCCCCTCGCGAGCTCAGCGCGATGCGGCCCCACAGCTGCTCACGCAGGTCCCTCCCCGCACCACCACCCGCCCCGTGGGAGTCGGGCTCATGAGTACTGATTTGCAGTGATACAGTTTTGCAGAAAATGCAAAAGAGGATAACGGGTCCGGGTGAAAGGCTCCCCGGGGTCTGCCCCCTGCCCCCCTCGCTGCGCCTTCCCGCCCAGGAATGTCCGTCCCCACACGTGGCGTGTCCTCTTGCAGGCTCCTGCGGCTGCCTCGTCATGGTGCTGTTTGCCTCGGAAGTCAAGATGCACCGCCTGTCGGAGAAAATCGCGAACCACCAAGAAGGGACGTACGCCTACAGGACGCAGAGCGAGAGGTACAGCGCCTCGTTCTGGGTGGTGTTCATCTGCTTTTCCGTCCACTGCCTGAACGGGCTGCTCGTGCGACTTGCTGGGTTCCAGTTCCCCTTCGCCAAGGCGAAGCACACGGAGCCGGCCACCGTGGCGGCGGACCTGATGTACTGAGGGCGGCCTCCTGGCGCAGGCAGCGCGCACCCGCCGCGCCGCGGGGCCGGTTGACCCGGTCCGTGCTTGCCGGTGCCCCCCAGACAGCGCCCAGACGCTGGGCGAGGGTGTTTACAAGCCGCACGCTAAGGTCACAGGCTGGAGAGGACGGGGAGCAGCGGGGAGGCCTTGGAGGGAGCCCCCTCCGCTCGCAGTGGTCACTCCCACTCGCATCAGCGTGCAGAGCGCCGGCCCCCCATGGGTCCAAGGCGCCGGGAGCACATCCGATAAAGCTACTACTTCCCACGTGCGCACACGTGCCACAGAAAACAGCTAGAACCACGTTGTTGTTGTTTCTTTATTGATTTTAGAGAGAGGAAGGGAGAGGGAGAGCGAGAGATGGAAACATCATGACAGAGAACATGGACTAGCCGCCTCCTGCGTGCCCCCCACTGGGGATCAGGCCCACAACCTGGGCATGTGCCCTGACTGGGAATCGAACCCGCGCCCTCCTGGTGCAGGGTCGAGGCTCAGCCACGGAGCCACACCAGCCGGGCTGCAACTGCTTTGTTAAACGAGCGTGCATTTGGGGAGCTGTTGGCAAGTCCATTCCAAGCACACGCTCTCTCTCCATGCCTGTTTGTTAAAATGTGCGAACCTCTCAAGGTCACCAAGAAGAAAACACAAAGCGAAGGGTACTTGACCCCCAACATCACAGGGCACTTACAAGAGGGACAGCGGCCTGGACACTGAGGGATCACGGGAAAGTCGTCCTCTGCAGCACCTTGAGGCCCTGGGGCCGTTGTGTCTAACCTCGGGGTCTCGAGCCCTGATTCCCAGCTATGAGGTGACATTGTATTCTGGGTTCTGTGTCATTTGGTTTGTGGTCTGGCTGTCAAAGCGTGGCCCAGGTCCATTTCCCCCGGACTCTCCGTGACATTGACCAGCAGACGACCACAGGCCACGGCCGGCCCGGAGGTCAGCCTTCCTCTCTCCTCCAGATGCCGTCCTCAAACACACACAGGAAGACGCAGAGGGTGACAGGCGCCAGGCCACTCACCAGAGCTGCCCGGTACTAGCTCCCATTCAAGGGTTTGGAAAGTGCTTGTTTTTTAAAAAAATAAAATAAAATACCTTTCCCCTTTTGGAAAAATTTACGAGGAACAAATGACGGTCCCTGAGAAATAATTCACTCTGGTGGCAATTTACAGCCCGCAGGCTGACATGAGACCGCTGGTCCCCCTCTCCCGTCGGTAATGCACCTGGAGAATTTGGAGAAGACCACAGTCAGGCTAGTGACGGAAGGGAGGTTCGGTGTAGTGACGAGCGGGATTCCACATAGGGACGTGCTCAGCCCAAATGGTTAGATACACACGCATCACCAGCATCAGGAGCTGGGGGCGGGCAGGAGGCGCAGGGACAGCCAGCGTAGGGGTAACTGGTCTGAGATCCCCGAAGGCCACGGTCCCCACCCTCTCCTTGGAAATCGCCCTTCCGCCCTTGTCCTCTCTCCCTGCATCCTTCTCCCCCACCCCGTCCTCTTTCCCCTCTTCCTCCTTTCTCGGGGAGGTGAAAAACTCCTAACACCAGCTTTCTGCTTTAGAAAACACATCTCTGCACGAGGAGAAAACTCCGGGCAGAAAGTCCAGCGCTGTCCCTTCGGTGGTCAGGAGCTGGGCTGGGTCCCTGCTGCTTGTGCCGCTCACAGAAACAAACGCCATCTGCCGGGGAGGAGGGCTAGTAGGTCGTGTCCCTCTGTCCGTCCAGGGAAGTGTGTGGTCACTGGTGGCCCACGCACAGCCCTCGGAAGAGGGATCTGGCCAGGGTGTCTCTGTGGGGATCCATGGCCCGGGGAAGGACAGTCCTTACGCTGTGTCCTCACCAGGTGGCGGCCAGCATTCCCAGGTTCTCACGAGGACACAGGGCCCCTGCTGGCTTTGGGGCCACCAACGCAAGGCCACGCTGGGCGCTCAGTCCAGGTGGTGAGCGGTCACCCTCGGCCCGAGAACATAGCGCTTACTGGGCGGCGGGAGAAACGGCGGGAAGCTATGGACGCCCCTGGGACGACCTGCAGTGCCCTTGCGGGAAGGTCCCCGGAATGCGAGGACGCCTGAATGACGTGGGGCGGGGCAGGCCACCGGGAGGAGGGCCGGCACAGCTGCAGAGGTCCCCTAGGCTCCTCCAGAGCCACGCTCTCCTCCTGGGCAAGCTCAGGGTGGCGGCGTTGCTGGTGCCCGAGGGCAGCAGGCAGAGGGACGAGGGGCCGGCGGTGGCCGCATCAGGCCGCACCAGCTCCCAGCTCGCCCTCGGAATGGGTGCTGATCCCAACCATTTACCTGTCAAAACCTGCACAAGAACCAAGGGGAGAGCGGGAGGGGCTGTGGATCTCGGGGAGACTTAGGGGCTCTCTCCATGTTTCTCAGCCGCTCCCCTTCCAAGGATCCAGTATCGGTAAATGGGCAAAAGTCGCGTGGTTGTTCCAGAGACGCGGCCGCAAGCCCGGTCCCCTGGTTGTCTGAGCACCTCGCGGCCTCTGATGGCTTCTGCTTAGACATTCGGAGCCCCTGCTATTGGGGTGCTGCGCGTTCATCTGGTGGGGCAGCTGTGCGGGCCCAGGGCAGGTAAGCCCTCCTCCAAGTGACAAGGGACAGAGCCGTGCAGATCGGTTTAGGGAGAAGGGTCCCTGCTCCTTGAAGCTGACAGAGAGAAAGATGGGAGGGTCGGGGCCCTGGATTCTGGGGTGAAATTCCCCTCGGGGAAAGGCCTCTTCCTCAGCGAAATGCTAATGTAACCGCAGGAAACTTGCACTTTGAGGTATAGACTGTGTGACGCCCCTGCCCCCACCCACAGACAGATCTGTGGCCTCACAAGACAACACTCACCCGGCTGCTGGCAAAGCCCAGAGGAGCCCGAGGCTGACGGGTGACTCACGTCAGAAATCTCCAGAGAGCCCGGCTGGTGTGGCTCAGTGGCTGAGCGTCGACCCTGCACCAAGAGGTCACGGGGTCGATTCCCGGTCAGGGCACATGCCCAGGTTGTGGGCCCGTCCCCAGTGGGGGGCGTGCAGGAGGCGGCCGATCGATGTTTTTTCTCATCAGTGTTTCTATCCCTCTCTCCCTCTTCCTCTCCCTCTAAAATCAATAAAGAAAAAAATTTAGAAAATAAAAATAAAAAAGAAAGAAATCTCCGGAGAATGTCCCCTGCAGGGCCTGGGGCACCAGACGGTGTCAGACCTGGGGGTGCGCAGTGGGGTGCACGGGGAAGAAGCTGGGCCACCCAGTCACGAAAGGACCAGTGTCTGGAAGGAGTGTGTTTCTCTGCTAGAATCTGGTCCGAAGGATTCAACCCACCCCAGACGTGACCAGACTGGGCAGCGAGGCAGCTGTCTGGTCACTAGGTCCAAGTCCACTCCTGGGAGCCAGGTCTGATTCTGGAGGACGACGAGAGACTCGGGCACCCCTAAAAACCTGTGCTCCGGCTCCCCCAGTCCGGGTGCCAAGGGGCCATGGGGCCGTGGCCAGGGCCTCTCGGGCAGTGAAGCCCCACCCGCGGGGGGACCTCAGGCCACAGTTTCCAGCTTCCTATGGGCCGTGGCCTTCACCTAAAAAAGTGTATCGTATCCTGCTCGGAGGTATGGATTTCGGGGTGCCTCAGCTTGCGGGTTTGCACCTGAAGCCCTACCCTTCCATTAACCAAGATAACAAAGAGGTTCAGACACCTGAACTTAGGGAGGGACGGTGTCGTCACACACCCCAGGCCAGGGGCTCCAAGAGACGCTGGTGTCCACCCTCTTGTCTGCTGCTGTTGGGGGCGCCCTTCGCACCCCTGTGCTCTCACCCTCGCCCCCAACTCTCCGTGGCAGACGGTGCCCGGGGTTCCCTGTTGCGCCCTCCAGAGGCAACCAGCGTAGGGACTTCTCCGTGCCTCCTCTGCAGGGGTCTGCGAGGGCGCTGGGCTGCGGAACGTGGCCTCCAGGGACCGTGCCGCTCCCCGGCCTGGCCCGGACGCCCACCCATGCAGCCCTTTGGGTCTTCTGCCCCGGTACTGCCCCTGGGAGGGGGACCCAGACGGCGAGGCTACAGAGCAGAAGCGGGCTGTGGGACCTGCCCTGGGTGTGACAACAGTGATATGTGCGCTTTCTGTAAAGCCACTAAGGGGGGGTTGTTTGTTACTGTAGCTGGTCACAGCCTGGCTGGCCCGTCCTCATGCCAGCGACTCTCTGGGTGGCTGAGGGGGCAGCCCGAGGCCAGGGGCACCCACCAGCGACCTGCAGCAGCTGTCTGTGCCTCCGTCCTGGAAGCAGTGACCCTCCGGCCACCCTGCCCATCACCTGCTGAAATGACCAGAGGGAGAATGTCCCGCATAAACCTCTGCAGAGCAAACGTAGTAACCTTTGCTCATGCTGCTCTTCGTCATGATTCCGTCCACGTGGCAACGACTAAGCCCTTTTCCATTCATCCAGAAAGCGTTCATTTTGAGCCTGCTCCGCAATGGGCCCAGCTGTGTGCAAGGCACTGAAGCTTTGGGGGAAGAAATGTAAACAGAGGAAAGATTTTTTCTACTTGGTCTGTGGTTGAGAGCAGAGACATCTACCCTTCAAGACTCTCCCTTCTGTTTCTAAAGCTCAGTTTATTCTTAAAGAGTTTTTACAGTGTGTCAACAAAAACAAACTAATCAGATGAGAGTCCTTAAGTACATAAATTACCCCCCACATCAACCAGTAGTTTAGTCTCCATTTCCACAAAATGCGGGAAGAACTGTGTACTTAAGAAAAGAATGCCAAGAAAAGTTTTGTGATGTATCTGAACCAGCCCAGGTTTGAGGGTGTCATCTGGAGGGGTGCTTAGTCACACAGCCATTTTCCTTTCTGCACCCCACTTTTCCTCACTTCCTCCCTCCTGAGGGGACTCCCACATCCGGGTCAGAGAGGCCTGAGCAAGGCCCCGGCCGGCACACGGAGGACAGTCGATAACATCGCAATAACTCTGGACAGTGACAGGTCTCGTCGTGAGGTACGTACG